AGTAGTAGTAGTAGTAGTAGTAAAGCCAAAACGTAGCCTTAGGAACAGGAGCAGATGCCGCAGGCTGACGGGTTGGTGTTGTTGTTGGTGATGCGGTTGTTGCCAGTGATGCGGATGCTGTTGTTGCTGTTGCTGTTGCTTTGTGCTGTTTCTATCGATGAATAAGAAGATGAAGGCTGACGTTTATGGTTGTGATGATGTTGGTGTTGTTGTTGTTGATGATGATGTGTTTTCTTGTTCCTTGTTGTCGTCGCCGTTGCTGTTGTTTGCGGTTCCTTTTTTCAGATACCGTTGCCGTTGCTGTTGCGTGTGTTGTTGTCGCTAAACTACTGCTGCGCTTACTGCTGAACTGGCAGTCCAACTGTATCACTTCTGAAACACGAGCAGCGGTAGCAATAATGTTGTGAATAGCCAGATCAGCGGTGATGCAACCAGTTTTGGCTCTCGTGCCGGGGGAGATAATGCGACTTGCCTTTGTGCATGGGGCCTGGAATATGGCCCAACTCCGTGTGAGGTACTGACATGCCCTGACATAGCACAAAGGAAGGCTATAGCAGTCCTGCAGTACTTCAGCGCGGAGACTTTAATCTGGTGTCCAGGTTGCGGATGTTTGTCACCCCAAAGCTTCCCGGGATTACTTATTTAGGAGGGATCCCAAGTGTCATTCCAAATGGTGGTGGATTGTGCTTCGGTGAAGTAAATAAGGGTGCCAATCTCGGCGCAAACTGCGCAATTAAGCCATAATCCAAACCCTGAACCCTAAAGCCATTGCCGTTTTTTCCCAGGTGTGGCCTTCGCTGAGTCTTCGAAGGCGCCCCACGGGGTCGAACACTGAACATGTTTGAATATACACTTCATAGCCAGTATGCAGGGTTTGGGATTTCAGGTTTAGTCGAGAGAGGGCGCTGTAGAGCTTTGGGGTTGATGGTTGCCAGATGTAGGGCTGTAGCGCTTTAGGTTCAGGTATTCAGGGTTTGCGATTTTGGATCTCTGACTGGGGTTACCTGAATACTGGAATGGTTTCCCGAATGCTGTCGTATTTTCAGGAATTGAAGAACGCCAGCGAAGCCATGGACGGATTGCTGATTAGCACACGTTCTGTGACTTCCAACGGCCAGTTTTCTATACTTTGCTTGGTGCATTTCTAGTTGAATCCGGTGCCAGAGGAGAACAGCTTCGATGTCATCATCGTGGATTCGTCCGATCCTGTTGGCCCTGCCGAGAAACTGCTCCCCGTTCTGCATGAGGGAGAATTCGCAGCGATTCTTAGCGTAGTCTATAGGGTTTAAGGTTGAGGATTTAGGTTTAGGGCTTCTGGTTTGCGCGTTCCGATAGAACTGGGTTCCTACTGCGAACTTGCTCAACGTAATGCATGAAGTGACCTTGGCCGCCTTCGCAACAATCCAAGGTTTTCCAAGGAGTTCTACGTGCCGCTAAGATGCAACACAAGCAGATGTGCGGCGGTGCAATATAGGGGCCTCAATAATTACTTATACTATTTTGGGGTTCCTTAATATATTTGTACAGTATAACATACCCCCCCCCGAAAACCTACTCTAATTATTAAGGCCTCCACATCCGTGCTTTGAGTTTGTGCGGAGGCAGGTGTTTGGAAGCGCGTGGTTCGTTGCCAAACCGAAACCCAGAAGACCCTTCTCTTCACTGCAGTGGCAATTCCGCGTGCAAGCACATATGAAGTGGAGGACGCATTATCATGGCCTTATCTAGGCTGTGGAGCTTGCCGTCTCTCCCAAAAACGTCGTAGGATAAAGGCATGCTTATCATGCTTGGTGGGCCGCTTCAACGGCCACGTCATGTACGAGCCATCTGCATACACGAATAAGTCAACAGATAGATAAGTTGAAAAAGTTCTCCCTCCCTCCCTCCCTCCCTCCCTCGCTCTCCTTCTGTTTTTCCCTCATCTTTCCCTGCTTTTGTTTCTGTCTCTCTCTCTCTCTCTCTCGTCTGTCTATCTCTTTCTCTCGCTCTCTCTCGCTCTCTCTCTCTCTCTCGCTCTCGCTCTCGCTCGCTCTCTCTCTCTCTCTATATCTCTATCTCTCAGTCTCTCCCTCTCTCTCTCTCTCCCTCCTTCTCTCTCT